TAATTTGCCAATTTGTCGACGCCATCCAGCAACAGCCGACCTGTTGTACTTTTTTGTGTGTGAATCATGAAAGACAAGATGTTTCGAAAACAATCATATTTTTCTTCTCTAAATGAGTAACAGCTACAGGATCTTACTTTCTTAACTAATTCAGTCGCGATTCAGTTGGCAGATTGCGCCTATTGTGAACAGTGTAACAACGAATAAAAATCTCTTCTCTCTCGGTAGGTTTCAACTAAAATATTTTACGCGTAATGACCTTTTTCCGCTTCGTTTCCAAATTGCTCTAAAAGGAATCTACACGGGGTATCTAACATTCCAACATTGCCACTTAACGTTTGAAACGTGCATTAACTTTGAAGTCTTTAAACCACGCTATCTGTAAAAGAAAATAAATATACACGTCACGCGTAATATCAATCGGCTCAGTTCTCATTGTCTGTCAAATATAATGCATTCTGTATGAAAAAGCGTGTCATTTGATCCCTCAAAGCGCCTTGCTTAATTTTATTATGAGTGGATTTGTCGCTTTACGTTGATGTCATCAGCCAAGAATCCACATTAGTTCAAAATTTCTGCTCTCTTTTTCTACTCTTTCGGCGCAAAACCTGAATTTACCTGAACCTAAGGAAATCGTAAGTAGCCTAATGATATTTTGCGTTTGATATTCACTTGTTGCGACTATTTTGGCGTTCCCCAATGGTCAGTAGGTACTACGACTAACCACTCCATAATTTGTCGCGCGCTTTTCAATTTACAACGCTTTCAAGATCTTTCAATGAAATCTGAAAAGAAATTTCTACCTCATATTCCAATATTAAGCTAAATATAATCACTTGTCACCGTTTCTGTTTTTAACATGATTTTCACGCTCAACCATGTTACAATTTGGACTATGCAACAACACAAGCAAGCTATGTGGACATAAAAGTTTACGCAGAAACGGAGTAATTGGAAATTCAAAGTGCTGGAGTCCGTGTTGAGGAGGTAAACTTCCGTTGAATTTTAGGGTCTTCAATAGCAAATAATCTGTCTTTCGTTGAGAAATGCCTGTACCATAATCGATGAAGTAACCCACCGTTGAACTGTGGTCATAGAATACCCTACATTAGACAGACCAATTGTGTCAATGGGCAGCCAAAACAGACAGTCAAAGGTTCTACACATTCTATACTTGTTCTCATATCTGAACGTATTTCATAGATTCCTAAGTTCTCTAATTTGAAGAATATTTCTGTTACTTTACACGTAACAGCAAATTAAGTTTAGAAACATGTGGCATTTTGTTATGCATATGATTAATAATTGATGGATCTGGTGACAGTCACATATGATCACCAAAAAAAACTCTAATAATTTGTTTTGTTTGTTGCTATTGCTGAAGCCCATGGTACCGGGCAATAATCCGAGGTTCATAGAAAAATGAATGATAATGATAATGGAAGTAAAAAGATAGTAAAGGAAGTAAAAAAATATCGTAACAAAATACTATTGTAGCTCAGTGGTTTACTATCTCGGGTAAACGTAGTTAGACTTCCTTTCATACTTTGCATATTTTCTGTCATTCATGCTATTAGTACTTCGTGCTATCCTGTTTCACAATGACTCTTTTCAATTCAGTCTGTTGATATGATCACGCAAGGTTTTAACTATCAGTCATGTCTTTTTCTCGTTCCGCATTCTCGTAAATTTCGTACGTGTATATCGTCTCAAAAATGTTTCATTTTAAGGTCTAAAAGTCATACTAAGCTGTCATGACTGTATACAACAGGAAATATGACATTTGGAGAGGCATTTTCACTGCATACTTTGCCCTAGGCCAAAAATCTTTCCTAGTGGTATTAAAAACCCATCAAAGTGCATTATGTAAAGGACTAACAGAAATTCGGGTCCGGACTCATCCCACATAATACATTTCTTATACTTCCATAAATTCGAGGAATTATGTCACATTTCACGAACTCACCGCTCACGTCACAAACTTGTAAGCATTCTAAGGCAGCCATTAAACAAATTACATGTATCTCAGACATGAACGTATGTTTGTTTTCTTTATATATTTTGTTATGCTTTTAGTTAAGGATTTTTTTAAAAGTAAATATTTAGATGCTGTAAGCAATGTCGGAGACCGGATCGATCAGTTGCTCTGTGTTTTGTTTTGTTTTTTGGAGGAGAAGTGTTGACCGGAGGCCAAATTGCTCTCTTGTATATGACTATTAAGCGATTTTTTGTACTGCTTTCTAAACAAAAATAAGTTTCCTTTTGCAAGGCCAACAAAGTCAATTCACTCACGACATTAAACGGTTATAAAATTCAAAAGTCGTGGGCAGTGTAGCTTATCTTTAGGAGTTACACAGCATCCCCAGATACAACAGTAGTGTTGACTGTTAACAAATCTGTTGTATGTAAAACGAAAACATGGTCCAGTTTTTTTAAGATTCAAAATGTTTTGGAGCGACTACTACAATCAGTCAACAATAGTCAGTTCTAAGACCGTCTTCTAAGTGATGTAGATCGAAGTTTGATTTGATCTCTGGTTTACAGACTTTGTTCAATTTTATAACTGACGAGGTGCCTTGGGATTGAGAAGGTATCTTTGTTGTTCATACATTTATTTCTTAAACCATCGATTTCTGGAAACTATTGATTATAAGAACCAAAAGTGACCCTAACTACCCATGTCAAGTACTTGAATCTCCTTCCATCCAACCCCGATTGATCAAACCTTCCAATTATGATTCTAACCACCTTTTTTCTGGGAAGTTTTGAGAAAACGGGATTCCAATGTATTTCAGTGTAACTGGGACAAAAAAATCAATCGTCTGATCTAGGTGTTTGTCGTAGAGGGATTTGTTGTATCGAGAGACCACACTGTTTTTATGCCCAGAAGCACGCGACGAGCAGAAATGTCGTGCATTCGAGAACAAGTTCTTTCCTGTTCGAAGTTCGTCAGTGTCCTCATTCGTAAACTAAGGAAGTTGCTATCTGTCAACGACATGATTAAGAACAACATTAGAAACATTTATCTCCCAATAAACATATCCGCGTTCCACCTCGTGTTCTAAAACTGAGCACGTACTACTGTACATGTAATACGGGAAAAAACGAGCGAGAATGAAAAAAATGCATGAACCAGATGACGCCATAATTTTGTTGTTAGCAACAACAGTGACGCGAGTTTAAACAACTGATTCATCAGCCATAAGTTTCTCAAGATGCCCAAATACGAAATGTGCAAATGTCCTTATCGAAGGGAAATTAGTCGTGTGGTTAGTTGTGAGTATCTACCTGATTGAAGGGGATATTTTCAATGGAGTTAGCAGTAAATAATGGAAGGCCAGCTGGGGTTATATGAAAAGCTGATCTGAACGAGCGCTGTGGTTGTTAAGTAAAACGGTCATTCAACATATTCTCGGAATTTGCTTCCCATGTTTATTGTCATTTTGCCCCCTTGCCCTTTCGAAAGCGCACTTCTTTAAACGGCAGCAGACTTAACAGCTTATTCCAGTTCACCTAATCAGATAACGGGCTCCTGCTCTGACATAACTTTAAACAACGCACGTCCAAATTCTTCAAACAGTGTGTAAAATATTCATATTGCCAACGAACCAATGCTTTGTGGGGCAGATACCCTACACGGGTTCGACCAGGTTGCAACCACAGCGCTCGTTAAGATCACCTTTTCATATAACCCCAGCTGGCCTCACATTGTTTACAGCTAGTAAGGATTTACCCAAACAGGCCACGTCAGTCATGATCATCCTTTAGGCGCCAGAGACTTTTCATGCTCGGTTTCCGGTGTTGTTCAAGTCTTTAAAGTGACCCACACAAAAAGCTTTCGATCGGCCGAAGATCTGTCGGCCTGTGGCACCGAAGCACCCGGCCGCAGGCTAGAAAAAAACCCTCTGCTACCCTGTGTATAATGATCACTGCATGCAGAAAGCTTCTACCCTGGTTACCCTGTGTTTACATCGTTTACCACATCTTCCCGGCACATCACCTTACTTAAGAATGTGGTCGCCGCCTGAACGTGCAAGAATCGTGCCTGTTCCAAACAAGTGGGAACAACCAACAGGAGATGTTAAAGCAGTGCTTTGAGTATTCATGTTTCGTCTTCAATGCATAAGGAGCCAAACATTTCTTGTTAAAACCCTCCCTCGAAAACAAAATAAAAGGAGACGCTTTCGGCTGTTGTGCCTTTCACGATTTCCGGTTATGGCTGTAACGACACAACATGGTTATCACTATGGTCATGGTTTTAACTATCCGGTTACGAGCACATCTATTTCCGAGGACTTTTCTTCCGTTCCCCCGATCAAAAGAAATGAAGTTTTGCCTCTGAAGAAGAGGAAAGCCACGATGTTGTCAAAGCACGACTTTGTGTCAGAGAGATGTCCAGAGATGTTCATAAGCAAATGCCGCCAACCGCCTCAAAAATAAATCAGTTTTGATTTTTTGCTTCATTTTCGAACTCTTTAAGTTGATCCTTCGTTCGTTAAAGCCTTATATTTAGAAAACATAGAATGAAGATAAGTATGGTATGAAGAATGATTCACCGAGGACGCATGCTATTTCATCTTCGCTTAGCTGTGAACTCTTCTGTCATTTTCTTGAGTTCTGTTCCGCCAGAACAGCTTAGTACAGTTGCTGCGTGACTGTCGTGTGTCACGCCAGTCGTGGTCATTTATATCAGTGACTAACTTATCTGCCTATTGTAACTACCGTGCCATACTGGATGACACAGACCGTGATACAACGTGAATTGTGTAGAGGAGGGGGGGGCAGCTAGCCCCCCCAATTCCCGGATGAGGGGGGAGCGCCTGGCCTCTCCCGTAGATCCTTCACCGCTGTATCGTGGGAACGTTTTCGAAGACAGCGATTCTAGTTGGAGGAAAAAAAAAACAGAAATAGGCTGCCAAGTCCAACAGGCTGTGAAAGATGACAACGCTCCGTGGTAATGCCCTTGTAATTCTAATCAACGGTTTTGTTCGTTACAGGTGATCTAAATTTACAATGGCTATCTCCACGACAAAGCCACCACCGACAGAGTCGGCCACCATCCAGAAACACCTTCAACTCTTCAACCTTGTCATGTACATCCTGATTTTCGTAGTGAGCGTGACGGCGAACATATTCATGATCTTGGTACTACGAAGAAAGTTTCGACGGCACAGGAAAACAGCCAAAAGCTTTATCATTCTCATGAACAACCTAGGTATCTCTGGCCTGGTTCTCGTAATAACGTCCATTCCATTTGACCTTGTGGATCAAAACATATCAGACGAGTGGCCTTTTGGTGCCGGAGGTTGCAAAATTTTGTGGCCATTACAGACTGCAGCTGTTCAGGCCATGGTGTATTCATACGTGGCACTTGCGTATCACCGATTTCACGGCTTGACTAGGTTAGTACGGTATACTCTCTCTTAACGGACACCTCTGTAATTAAACGGACACCTAGAGTTAGTCCCTGCATTTCTATTCTCCCTTAAGTTGCCTTTCTATAAGACGGACACCTCTCTAGGACTAACCTGCGTAGCAAGAGGCGAAAGGGGAAGGAGAAGAAGATTAGGAGGAAGTGAAAAACTTAGAGCTGGTCCCAAAGTGGTGGTCCGCCCGTCTTAGAGACAGTCGACTGTAAAGGCTTGTGCGCTATAGGCAAATCTGAGCATCGGGGCAACATTGCCTAAGGGTGGTATGGAAAGGCATATTCGCTATCCCATTTCAACATTTCGTTGTGGAAATTCTCGAAGTAAAGTCGTCACCAAAACACACTAACGACGTAAGAATGAAAGCGAGGCCTAAGGGCCACCAGATTTTCCGCAAATTTCAAAAAAAGGAAAAAGGGCGGCGAAAACAAGAATGATTTGTGATTTAAAGATTAAAAATTATCCTCAAAAGATATTCCTGGAGCAGTTATAGTAAATGAACGTGCGTTGGAAAGTGGACAGTGGCAGAAACTGACCTTTGGTAAGGATCCTTCGAAAATACATGAAACGTCAAGTCTTTCCTATTATCGGAACGATTATATTACAAAGCTCTGCTGCGCAGTATTTGTGAGAACTATTTTATGTGGTAGTTGTATGGTGCGCTTCTGCCACTTTATTCAATTTTTAGTTACAGTCTAACCTCTCCTTACGGACACCTCTCTGATCTATTACGGACAGTTCGTTTGGTCCCAGAAATGCCAAAAATCATAGATCCCCTACCTCTATAATACGGACACCTCTGGACATTTGTTTAAAGCAGACACTTGGGTCTGTCCCTTTGGTGTCCGTATTAAAGAGGTTTGACTGTAATTGCTATGTGGCCCGTAGAACTCGCTTTCATGATCTTTCATGTGTACGTCGCAAGTGTGTATTGCACTACTTAATTTTATCACCATCTGACAAGTTGATATAAAGTAAAGAAGCTTTTTATTCTTCACCTTATTGTTACAGAGGCTTGTTCGGACAGATGAAGTTCATCACCGCTGTTCTCATGACATTCTTCATCTGGATTATAAGCTTCGTGACGGTTATTCCTTATGTGCTGAACCTCGACTACAATTACGAAAACAAAACCTGCGAAGAAAACTGGGACTCAGAAGTTGCCGAAAAGGGTTATTCAGTAGCCTTGTTTTTGCTTGATTATCTGCTACCTCTGATCGTCGCTCTGATTTTGTACTTGTTGGTCTGGGGAAAACTTCAACGGTAAGAATAAGGAAGGCGTATTTCTTAAAGTGTTCTGAGCGTCAGTAAAGTCAGCAGAATATACCACAGTTTCCAATCAGCATTTGATGCAGCCAATCATAAAAGCCATGAAACACAAAGGAAATGCATGTAGTCGACGCAAAGCGCGGAAAACTCTAGACCGATCACAAGCGAGCTTAAGCAAAGACGTTTTTGAGCGATGCACGCTAACCGGAAAAGGATTTCTTGAATTCTTGGGCAGTGCTTTTGCCCAGATTTTAAGCAAATCGTCTCTATAAGAGTAAAGAAACTTAGCAAGACAAATTTGTCGGGCGTCAAGGCTTATTGAATGGTAATGGAGCTTATTTCCGGTTGAGGTGCGGGGCTCAAAAACGCCTTTACTTTTCTCCCTACAGTCGAACCTCCCTTAAGCGACCGCCCAAAATGCAAAGACTGAGTGATCGCTTACGGGAGGTGGTCGTTTACAAGAATCGAACCACAGGGGTCTCTTCCTTCCAAAGTTCTTCGTATATTCTAAGTAACATAGTGCACACAGCGAGCATAGAGATCAGAGATTGTGACAAGTGGTCGCTTACAAGAGGTTAAAAACAATGGAAAATCATTAACCGTCAGGGCCAAATAGTGGTCGCGGTCGCTTACAGGAGGTGGTCGTTTACTAGAGGTTCCAACTATAAGGCTTTGACTGGGAAAATTTTGGTGTTTTGGATTGGCGTTCGCTTACGAGAGGTGATCGCACATGGAGGTTCGACTGTATTTAGAATCACATTTACCGCAAACGGCGAAGTTTTTGCCGTACTCTTCGTTCTCTCTTCGTTATATCTACAGAACGATGAGTTTTTATCGTCTCATATCCTAATCTGAGAAAGAGTGTTAAGTTGAAAAACTGACGTTTGCCGTTTGCCTTAATAGTGATCAGTTTAAATCCAAATTTTCAAGAACTGTCCAATCTATAGGACTGCGCTAACCCAGATAACCATATTCCGTTAACCCCCCCCCCCCCCCCCCCTTCCTTACGGCCTGACTCCTCGGTTCACAAAAATTGCTGCTTATTTTTAGTGGTATTTAGTATTACGCTTTCTTTCAATTTACTCCTAGTTTTAAAGTCCTTGATCCTGAACGTGTCGGCCGCCGTGACCGTCACCAGCGTATTCTCCGCATGTTGGTCGCATACATCGTCATATTTGCCATCTTACTCTTGCCGTATCACATAATGTGGTTTATTAAAGATTTCGACGATGGCGAGGAGAAGTTATACTTCCAGGACACGCTTAACGTCATACACATGTTCACGTACAGCGTAACCGTTTTCAACCCCATTATTTTCTTTCTCTACAATCCCGAGTTCAAGCGGCATTTAAGGTATCTGATCCAATGTCAGTGCATCACGAAGAAGGAGATATTCAGCTTGGAAAATCTCTCCGAGTCGTTTTCCGAAGAGTCAGATCCACCTCCTCGCCTCCGAGCGAAACCTAAAGCGAAGCCGCTGTATGACTACAAGTACGACACCAAATCAGTGGAAAATAACTACGCCTCTACGCCGACCATGTCACGCGCCGAATTCGACACAATGCCGCCTGAAAACTCCTCAGGGCTCGGATTGGTTGAAGCGAGCTTGTTTCCAGCGGCAGCGGGCCGACTTCGTGGGCAGGAGAAACAGAGAGGGTCGTCGCCATCAGCTTCACCTCCACCTTCGGAACTGATGTACGATAACACTGACGCACGAAGCGCTGGTTCTTTTGACCAAGGAAGCGAGATGTTATGAGGTTCGTCTTGTAATGCTCTTAATGCAACAGGAGCCAAGAGTGTTTTAGTTTAGCTTTGAGCCCACGAGTATGAGTACAGTGGAATCCCGATTTTTCGAACCACCTTGGAAAAGCAAATTGATTCAAATTACCGGGAAGCCGGGTTTGAAAAATCGAAGGTAAAATTACAGTGTTTGACTGGTGAAGAGAAGTTAGGTTTTGGCTCCAAAAATCAGGAATTCCGCCGGAAAAAGGGAGGGTTCGAGAAATCGGGATTCTACTGTCAACGCTTAGGGTCTTTTAACGAAGATAGTAAAGTGCTTTACTGTCTTTCTTTGACATGCCAATTAAAGGACAAGGAGTGAACTGTGTTTTTGTTCGTCAATATTAGTAAGAAGCGCTTTGTATATGAGAGTATTGCAAGTGTAAAATAATGCGCACAATAACCCAACCTAGAGAATATACTTTATTCTGATTTGATTTAAGCTGATTCAATATTTGATTTAAGTAGAGTAGTCTTAGGCGGCCACCGGTTCTTTTTTTGAAGAGGCATATATGAGCTCGACAATCACAGTGGCAGCGGAAGGGGCGCCAACGAAAGGGGCTGTAACGACTATTAGAAAGTTTTAACAACGACGAGAGCGGCAGAGGCGAGAACGTCGAATTCGAAGCCATGATTCCAAGTCACTGAATATTCCCAAAGTTGGCCTTAGGCGACTGCCAATAATTTGAATAATAGAGGATGTCTAACGTTCTTCTAACAAAGCTGAATATTCTTTTTTTTTTTTTTTTTACAAAGATTACGTGTCGGTGTTTCTTTTGGGTGCTATTGTGTTATTTCAATCTTAAACTTGCCGCCAAACATTGCCTTAAGAACATACGCCAATTAGGCTCGCAAATCCTTTTCATTTCTAAGGACCTACCAGTGAGATCACTTTTGTCTTTATCTTACACATCAGCAAGGAGAGATCAATCCAGATAAGCTTTCTGTCAACGAAACTTTCGTGAGCTTGACCCTTCTACGTATTCTTTTTTCAACACTGATCCAAATAACGGCTGGACTAAGTTTGCACCTAAATTCTCACGACGTTTTTCCGATTTCAGTTCTTGCTAGCTCAGACGTCGCTTAGAACCGTTAGTTGATCGGGGTTTAAAAAGAACCCACTTTTTTCACTCCAGGTTTGTCTCACTTTCCTTTCTTAAACTTGGCGTGATGCTTCTTAAACGGCGAACAAATCGCTAAGTTTCCGCCAATTACGAAGTGACCATGGCAAAAGAATTTTTGAAGACTTTCCTTGCCTTCGTGGATCAACATGTTCGATGCTAGAAATGTCAATCGACGTAGAATGTCTGTGATAATGATGATGAGAAGGATGATGATAGTGATAATGCTGATAATGATGATGGGGATGGTGACGATGATAATGATGATGATTATGCTGGGGGTGGTGATGGTAGTGTTGCTGTCCAGTGCTAGGTAGGTCGAGCAACAATGAATAATCACTTAATAGTTTTACATGTAACATGTACTGGTGTAGCTAGCGATGCGATAAGAGTTGCGTAATGGTGTGCCTACTTTTAAGCGAGCAAACTCTGACAACGGGAACTGAAATGAGACCACGATATTAAAACAATGAGCAGCTCAAAGGATATTTATTATAGATATTCAACATATATAACAACGGCAAATTGCTTGAAAAAAAAGTGTGAAATTAAGGACCATTTATCTTATAGTTTTCTGACAGCTCCGCCATTTTTATAGAACATGAACGGCGAAGTACTACTGACCGAACGGCGGTAAATAAGATTTCTTTTATCTTACAGAAAACTGATTGATACAACATATATATATGTAGTGTATGTAGTGCGTTATGGTATATAAGAACCACATGCATTTATAGATATATGATAGAATAACCGAATCTTTGTTTCAATATGTTGTCACATTAACACATTTTGCTTATCTTCCCTGACCAAGCTTTTAAAACAACATCTCCATATATTGAATCCCGAATTACAGAATAGTTTGGGAGGATTTCTTTTCAAAAACCCTTGCTCATTTTGCAGCATCATATCATTGTTATTTCCTCAGATACTGAGTAAAAAAATTTTGCTCAGGTCGACCAGCTCTTTCAGCTTTTAAATCCATTTGTATATAAACCGACGCCATTTAAACTAGTACCTTAATGAGCAAAAATCTAAACAGTGACGTGAGCTAAGATTCACCAACAGTTTGTATTATTTACTGGGAATCAATAATATTTTATTTACGCCATACCGCTGTATAAGCCATAATTATTGTTATTCGCCTGATCCAGGCTCCAAGATATAATTCTTCACTTTAGTAACACCAAGGAAACTGCGTCGAGTTAACTTATGGCAAAGACTTCCGGGACTGTTACTGGAGACAGGAGAAAATATTGGCCAATAGGGAGCTTAAAAGGCGTCTTTGAGCGACGCACGTTAACCGGAAGTGGACGTTTTACATTCTTGAGCGGTGGTTTCGCCCAAATTTTAAGTCAAATTGTCTCTATAAGAGTAAAGAAGCTAAGCAATACAAATTTTATATCGTCAAGGGATATTTAGAGGGAAAAGACGTCACTTCCGGTTGACGCCCGTCGCCCAAAAACGCCTTTGCGAAAGTTACCTAACAAGCTGACCGGCGCGTCCCCAGAAAATCCCAGAAACCACTGCGGGACGCAGTTCGGCTCCAGTTCCCTTCTCGTGCCAAAGTGGCGAATGTACAGCGATCGTGAAAACTGATGCGAAAAACGCGCGCGGCAAGATCACGCGCTTCCTTTTTCTTTCCGCTTGACATTGTTCCGGCAACGTACCTACTATCTGAGAGCCTGGTACAGACTATTATTGTTATAAGAAGTGTTTATATTTCATGAGCATCAATAGTAAGCTGTGATTTGTATATTCAAATGCACACCATAAACTGTCACTTATAAGCTTCCCCACTTATAAGCCTCTCTAGCTATAGGCCCATCTACCGCTAAACAAAAAAATATATCCGATTGTAAGCCCCCACCCCTGGATTTGAGCCTCCCTCCAAATGTTACGAAATTGATTTCGCCTTATGATAACGTTGTAATGTAGAATTCTTTTAAGCAATTGACCACACTTTCTGTAGGTTTACCGGCGTAATAACCCACGCGGTATGTTGGGAGAACACAATTCGGCTCGTGATTTACAAGCTTTTCGAGTGTAATCCCAAAATCCCGTCTGGGTTATCACGCTGGTAAACCCATAGAAAGTGTGGTCTATTGCTTTTATAAAATAACTTTAAGATTTATATGAGTTTACTGGCACAATAAACCATAGGTTTTTAACCAATCAGAACGCGTGTACTATCTTAGTTATTTTATAAAGATCAGTAAATGTAAAACTTTTTTTGACCAGCACTGCTATAGCTTTTTTTGGTATGCGCCACCTCGGGTATAAGGCCGTCTAATTACAAGGCCTCCTAGAACCGCTTACGAAGTTGAAGATGGACAAGCCCATGGCTTATAAGCGTCAGTTTACGGTATGGTTTTCATGAAAAGTAGTTAAATATTTTCTTAATGGTTTCGGAAATGTATTGATTTGAAGATAAAAGAAATAAACGTGCTGTTTAATCTCTTCCTTTTTGAAGCGGTTTTATGGTTATGGTACTAGCGTATTTGCAGGCGTGATTTAAGTTCCGCTTTGCATCCAAACTTGGCACAATCCCGCAAAAAACGCCTTTGTACAAGGGTGATCCTGACTAATACCCTTTACCTGCCTTTACACTCGTTCCGTCAGTCGCAATTTCCCTTATACGCCTACTACCGTCTCCAGTACAGCTACATCTCCTTAACGCCGTTTCTGAATGCGATCTTAGAAGGTAGCACTTAAGGACTTAAATTTACTGCTGTTTCGAAGACGATGGGGGAAAACTATTCGACAATGCAGCCTTTCCATAACAAGGTGACGAACTCCGCGATTGTACAAGCAATAATTCTACATTCTCGGATGCCGCAGATTCTAAAACCTCTTGTTTAGCCAAAGGAGAGCAAGGTTGTTTTGTCATCTCCAACTCATTTTTGACTGGAGTAGCGCATCGTTTCAATAGTACCACAGCATGGGCAGTGTTTCTTAATGTCCTGGCGTTTTTGCTGCTATCCTGAGGCGTTCCAACTTGGGTTTTGCGGCACAAAAGAATCCTCTTATACTCCGCTCTAAAGGAACGATTCATAACCCCGTATATGATAGGATTAAGGGCTGCGCTGAGGTAGTTCAGATACGTGCAAAGGAGCGTTCTTGCTCGCGGAGGGGTGGTGTGAGTGGCGGCTCGATCCATGGTAATTATGACCAAACTTGGAACCCAGCAAACTGCAAAAGCAAGAACTGTCATGAAAAGAAGCTTGGAAATCTTGATCTCTTCCACGGATAGATTTGAATTCCTATGCTGTCCGCTTAACAGTGATGTAACCACTGAGACCTGGTGTTTTCTTATGTTGACAAATACAAGAGTGTAACACAAAACGATAGTAATTAACGCAATAATAACAAACACGAACTCTACTAATGTTTGTAAAAGAGTGTGCGCAATTGCACAGACGGCATAACTTGGTTCATAGCGGATGTGAGTTGAATTGCTCGCAAGGATCCCAGCGTAGAATCCAATGACTGAGAGCCACATTGAGCCAATTAAAAGCCACGAGTTTCTCTTCGTAAAGAAACGCTTGTAAAGCGCAGGTTTCGCCACGCGAAAGAAGCGGTTGACGGCTGTGAGCGCCAAGGTTCCTATTGACATCAAAGCCAGGGTAAAAATTGCAAACCCTTGGATTTGACAAAGAATGTGCGTGTTTATCCAATCGTCTGATGCCAGTATCGCGCACGTAATCGGTGCACAGATTACCGCAGTAAGTATGTCGGCGATCGCCAGCGCGTGAATAAACATAGTAGTCGTTGAGGTCCGAAGTTTTGGGCTGCGAATTACAGCGAATGCAACGAGAACATTTCCAAATAGGGCAAACATGCCAATCATACTACAAAGAGCTACTTCCATTATTGTACCCCCGATGCTTCGACTTGAAGTTTGCGCGATCAAATCATCAGCCATCTTGCTCGAATTCATTCCATTTCAGCTCTAATTGTTTTCGCCTCCAAATTGTGTGGGTTAAACTTTACATGGTTCGCCATATTAAGGGGTTAAAACATGTCAAAGTTTTACTTAAGGTAAACTTTTTCGCCCAATCGTTGCTCGCCCTGGTGAATTTAATTTGTGCTAAGATTTTTGCGTCAAACTGTTTGTTCTCAAAATAACAAATCTTACATTAAAAGAGACATGAATCGGCTTCATTCACATCGATTCAGCCTTTCATTTAAGAAAAAAATTCGTTTCCTAAAGCAGATTAACACTCCACACCTATTGTTTGGAGCAAAAACAGTTTGCTTCGCTGAACGAACAGACTTAAAATGCAATACAGTTTTGTTTCATAATTAAAATATAAAGCAATAATTTTAGTCTTCTGTTCATGGATTTCTTTCCCCTGGTTTACTTTGTAAAACTCCGTAACAAGATCCGTTCCTTGGGCTTTATGCTGTTTCCGTCCTATTTTCTTTGTTTTTTTTTAACTTTTTCATCTGCTAATTCTTTCCAGGTGATAATTTCATCTGATCTTTGCCGCTCGTTTATTATCTTAGTGATTTAAGAATGCTTCATCAAGTAGAATGAGCTTAACTTTAAATAATCAAGGGAAAAGATTAAGAATCGATTAAAAACAAAGAAAGCGACAAGTGTATAACTAATGAAAATTGACATTTCATGCCTAGCCTGTTCCTGTTCTTGCGCCCACTACTTCCCAGCGCTTGCTATTCAGGCTAGTTGAGAGCCTGGAACAGGCTATTTCATGCTCTGCCGAGCGTCACTTTATTACGCCATCGCAGTCTTTAATCATAACACAGGGTTACCAACCTACTTTTTCTATTCAGTCAGTGAACTATGACTGAAAGAGAACATTGGTGGAGCAATTCAAACCGTCAATTTTAAGACTGTTAAGACAATGCTTTTACAAGCCTCAAAATGCCAAATTAACTGTCCCGCTTTAATTTTGGCTCGCAATAATTTTGAGAGGCTCACTGCTCAATGACGAATTTTAAACCGTTTTTAGAGCCTCGGGAATTTAGTTTCGCCTTTGCGCTATCGAATCCTGATTACGAAACCACGGACATGAGTCAAAAAGACAGTGAACAGAGGCTGGCAACCCATTTCGCACCTACTTTGAGGGTGCCTCAGAAATTAAATTTAAAAAAAACACTAAGTTAAACTAAACTGACCACAAGTTGTCTAGAAAAGTTGGTTTTTTTATGTAAACCTCATTGTTGTCGAAAGGTCTGACAATTTTACCGGTACCCTAAAATTGTTATGGTTTTGCATCTCTTAAATACAGGGTACCCGCTGGAAGTTTTAAAAGCTTTATTGACAAAGTTTTTCTTGTTGTTTACTCGTGCGTGGCCTTTCTTATAAACCTCGTATTCCCATCGTCAAAAGTTTAATTTGGTCGTGGTGCTCGCTTCGCTACATTTTTCGCAACCCTGTCTTCACTCGATACAGGTCATTGCATGAACGCTCACGAACTTATATCGAACAAGCTCTTCAAGTTTATTTGTGCAAATCATTAGCGTAAGTTTTACCTGTCATTAGTCTCTTACGATACGAGTTCGGGGTTTTAAACAAGGACTGACGACTTGGAGGCATAAAGACTTGGCTTAAGGTCATGTGTAAAAATAACGAATAACGATACAAACGAAGGAGACGTTAAAAGCTTGTCCACACCCTGGCTCGAGGAATATTGAAGTTCGTTTAAGGAGGAGTTTTTATTAAATATTCAGCTTGTTTGCCCACATCAAGGCAAGTGTCACTAGACATGGTTAACTCCTCCACGGCAGATTTGTTTCTACCAGCAAGCTTAGTCTAATCAACCGTCGATTTGTTAAGGTTTCTGATCATCATCGAGTGCTGTGTATATTATTTGTGCCTTGAAGTTTGACACATTACTTCCAATGGAGGACTCTATCCTGGTTTTCTTACTTTAGTGTTGTGTGGTGGCAGCCAATTGGTTGGGATGGAAATCAAGGACAGACACCTTCAACCCGTGCGGCTATCTGTGATCGGAAACAAGAAGCTATGGGCAGGTTAGTGTAATTGGGTGAGTAGTTTTAACTAACCCACGAACACAAACTATTCAGTGGGGCCGAAACTGATAAGCGAAGCGAAAGTTTAGAAATCGTGTGATAAGCGATAGCGCGTGGAATTTCGTGTTACTTCAACAGACAAACAAATTACAATATTTCTAACTTTTACAGTTCATCTCTTGCTTACTCTTCTCTGACCAAAATAACCGATTACAGTAATTAGTAATCTGTCACGAGTCAAAAGGGACTGTAGTTTACCATATTCCGTTGATAATCATGTACCTTAATGAGACGTTAAGAAGTTAACTCAAGTTTTGCCGCTGTCATTTATATGTCGATTTTTATTCCTGCTAAGAATTCGGCGATCACTGAAGGTAAACGGTATTACATAGGGTACAGCGATGGTGTTCACCATACGCTGTCGAAACTAAACCTACGAATTAAGACATAAATCGCGATATAATTCATATAGTTTTTAAATAATCTGTCTCCTAAGCGTTTCTCTTTAAAAACTTCAGAAACTGGCGAAATTTTTATTCTAAATAATCAATAACAACTAGAAAAGCTTGCTTAAATTTCAAATTGGCCAAAAGAGCGTCGATCGAATTTTAATTGAATCTTAACGGCGCTGTTTCAACAGGTTGATTGCCATTGTTATCTATATTTCATTCTTGTCAATTCCATACAAAACACCGTGAATTTCAACTGTCCCACAGTAGAAAAAGAGGATAGTGGAAAAAATAGAGAATCTTTGGACCTTATCATCTCTTGACTGTATACCAGAAAAAAAGAGAATGAATCGAATTCATGACGAAACAATATCGTTTATCTTAACGACTTTTAGAGGACGGTTTGAGCTGGTAAAAGTAAACATAAAACAATAACTTTTGATGGTCTGTCTTATCACGACAATCTGATGTGCGATTAAACTGGTCCGCTGAATTCAGCGTGCCACAAAAAATAAAACGCGGTAAACGGACCACCCCGCCAACTTTTCGCGTGCCTTTTTCTTTCGCGTCTTCCCCCACTATCTGAGAGCCTGGAACAGGCTACACGACTATCTGATATGCTATTAAACTGCTGCGTGCCGCTAAAAAGCCGTAAACGGAGAGCGCAGGGAAACATGGAACTGATATGAAATGCGAAAGTCCCTCAGTCACAGTGATATGAGCATCTCCGCGTTTTGGGCATCCGCTTTCCCAAAACTCTAGTGATATGGGCATCCCTCGTATTACCTCAGCTATTTGGGTTAGGGTTAGGATTACGGTTACAGGGGATGCCCATATCACTAGGGTTTTGGGAATGGGGATGCCCACATCAATGCAACACCCCCTAGTGCGCATGGTGCCAACCTCGGTCCTTGGGTCTCTCCTACTCATCCTTGCGCAGGGAGAGAGAGGGAGAGAGGCTGCACAGGCCACGGGTGGGAGAGAACCCTGGAAATGAGGTTGGTGTGGTGCATCCTTCCCATGGTACCACGCTATTCATGTCGCGTAAAACCAATGAGTGACGAGCGACGCCTGGACGCGATGCAGGGCAGTGAAAGAATCAAAACTCAGCGTTAAATACATTAGCGGCATTTGCAGCCTGCGTAGCAGGCCACGGTTTTTAGTGTAAAGGAAGAAACCTCGCACGGCCTGTAAAAAGAATAACCGGCGCCTCCTACGCGGCTACGCAGACTGGGGCACTTGTGGGAATAAGAACAAATGGAATTATCTCTTGAGATATTATCTATCTCTAATAATTGACTAAGGACGATTAGATTCATCTCCGAGCCCTATTACAATATCATTGTACAAGAGACTTGTACAGCTAAGTGTGGGGTTTTTTTTAATTTAAGGAGAACCTTGGTATATCTGCCGACAGAGCTGCACGGCGTTTCTTTTTGTCTTAATGCTGTTGTACGTGTATTACTTCTCCTGCTACATGAGACATGAAATCCGAGCCGTCTACCATGCTCCTCCTCTCCAGTCCTTTCACTCTCGCTGTCGGGGCGCGTTTCAAACGCTAACCAAAGGGCACTGGGTACAAAGAAATGTCAGCATCCAGGCTTTACAGAACCGAAGACAATTGGACGCTATCTTACGCATGCGCAAGGGCTGGCCCGAGCGACTCTTTCACGGAGACCGACGTTGTGGTCCGAGATTTCCTCTTCCTCGTAAAACAAGAAATAAAGATCGACCTTATGTTTTAGATGTACAAGCTCAGTGCGATACAGACAGCGAGAATTACTGTTGCCATGGGAACACAGGCTGGTGTGGCCATGGCGACAAGTTTTGTGGCTGCCCCAGCTGTATAAATTATAAATCTTTTATCTCCGCGGAGCTAGCTCAGTGGCTGCCACTTAGCGGTTGCCGTGTTATAAATTTCACTCAATCGTCCGCCTGTGAATCAATATCTCGAGGAGTCAGTAGTGTGACCTTCATAGGAGACTCTCTAGTGAGACATCTTTTCTCCGCCATGGTGATCATTTTGACGAATGATCCGCTACACGGCGCCTTAAAATATAACACCGCACCCAAGATGCGTGACATGTGTAAAGGAGATAGCCAATTCGTGGACAGTATATGTCACGTTCACACTGCAATGACTTGGCGTGACCTAACGGACCATCCCAATTTCTGTGATGGTTGGGCGAAATTTCAAATCTCGTACGTTAAGGCGTATAAAGTGGAAGTTGCAGATCTAGCTCTTCTTGCCATCAAAAAACGTCTCAACAAAGTTGGTTCTGTCGTTCTTATGGGCATTGGAATACACAATAACTTCAACGCGTCAGCGGTTATTCAGTCATACCTTGAGCCCGCAGTTCAGTTGGTTGCAACTTCCAAAAATGGTTGGCCGCACCTTATTTGGCTATCAACCCATTCGATGGGTCCTTTGAAACCAATCAATTACCATCGTGACCAGGGAAATCCTGCCATTTTGTCCTTCAATAACAGCCTTACAAAATACTGCGAGCAACACAACATAACAGTGTTTGATAGTTTCAACATGACGGCTGGAGTTCATAGTTTTGACGGTACCCACTTTGGAGTTGGGGTGAACACGATGAAAGTACAAATTCTTCTTAACTACCTAGAAGAAACCTTTTCAAGGTGACAAGGAAGAACAGATATGTGCGTGTATAAATATACAATTCATTTTGCATATACGTACGTTTCGAAATATACTCATTACAGTTTGCGCGCGCGTCATACATAACACATGAACAAGTTTACGTACAGTCATGCATGATTATTGTTATACATACGTCAATCGAGAATCAACACTCTCAATTGTACACATGTATATGACGACGATCCTGCCAGGTTTTTTGCGATTTTATTTTGAATCCACGCAACTTATTCACTTCTTTTTTGGTACTCGGGATGTCGGGTTGACGAACCCATTATTGGGGAATCTAAGGGCCTGATTCAATGGAGGTGGGGGACCAAGGGTAGGTGAGGTAACCCGCGGCGGGTCACCTCAGCTATAATGAAAACGTGATCAAATTAAAATGAGAGATTATATGGAAAGGCGGGTTTCCTCACCTACCTATTTTAAGTCGTTTCCGTGGAGATTAAGGGCCCGATAGGGCCGCGAAGATGTTTTCTGTCTGTAAACAAAATTAATTTCGTTTTTCCTTTATTAAAGTTATTTTTGTATTACTTTAACTTGTTAGGCCATTTCCAAGTTCAGAAAATTCTTGTTTTGTTCCAGGGGTGAGGGGGGGGGGGGGGGACCCAACCTTTTTTCAAGGGGGATCTCCAACACACCAGGCATGGTAAAATTCCGTCATACTTTAGGTATCAAAACTCACCAACAACCCCCGGCCGTTTACCAATATTTTGCCTTAAGTGAGAAGTAAGTGTTGAAGTTGGGTATGATGGAAGGGGTAGGTGGGCCTGGCTCTGGTTAGATATGCATGTTGTGTCTTCAGACTACAGAGCACTCACGGTAGTTTATCAATAAAGTCATGCACTTATACAACAAGAGACTCCTTGACCCCTTCCCTTCCTGTGCATTCTAAGGACATTTTGACCGGAAACAGAAGTATGTTTTGATCTCTCAACCCTTGAAATCGGCTTGATTACCAGCCGCTGTTCTGGAAATGAGCCCGCGCTCCTCGCAGGACAGAGAGTGCGGCGGAAATCGAGCTTACCCCTGAAGGACGAAACAAAGATTAAATCCTTAGGAAAACCGTTGCGCTTCGCGTGTCACTCGCGTTTCGCGCTCGCCTCTGCGAAAAACGAAGCGCCTGAGGAGTCTGCATTACGAACATATGTCAACAAAAAATGAGAGGGACATGTTAGGTTTCTGTGCCACTTCTGAATTTAACTTTCGCGTAAAAAAATCTCAACTCAACCTGGTCTTAAGGGTTGCATCCGAGAGAGCTCTAAGATTGAGGTTACTCTCAGCTAATTGGAGCAAAGCGGGGGGTTCCCAGCAAAGGCGGATGACAGTAAAGTGCCAAAGTGAAAAGAGTTTAAACTAAGAAGAACCTTTGAAGAGAGGTTTAAGAGAAGATTAAATGTCAAGTATTGGACTGTGCAGACGTTTTTGAGCACCGACAATTTCTAAAAATAGTGTTCAAGTCTAAGCGCTGTAACCTTTTGGGTCAATTGGGATGCTGGCTTCCTGTTAGGGCCTTTAATGATTCCTCAACAAACTCAGTATCCCTTCGGGGTTACACTGGCCCCCGTACGTGGGAGACATGTTGGTTAATACTGCAGCGTCTGTTTTAGAGAGGAGTGGGGACTGCTTTAGCATCAAAGATAGCTACGGCATTAAAAAGGTCACTTCTAAAAAGAATTCGCATTTTTCGAACTTGGTCCCGTTTATTCGACCTCGTGGTCGGCGAATTTACCATGGGGTTGAATTCTTGGGGACCGCACTCAAGTTTAGAAAGAGGAAGAGAATTTCGTCAACGTGTGTTCACGTCCTCCATAACGCGTCGCATAAGGAAATTTACGTCGTGGTCTTGCAGTGACGGCAAAAAAATGTACCAAACAGTGCGCTGCGCGTGCAAATTGTTGTTTTGCTTATGAAACCTATTGGTTTTTACGTTCTCTTTGCTTTGCATTCGTTGTTGTTAGGGCTCTCTAGTGACAGAAGACAGCCACTGACCATCACTAGGTGCTAGTTTTAAGGAAGGCGTCCGTATTTGGTCCCGGGAAAGAGGGTAACACTCCCCGCCGAGTCAACTTAGGCGAGCGTTAATACGAGATAAAAGTTGACCCCTTGGCCCGAGACAAGAGCTGACAACAGTACTCGCGCATGCTCAGATTGCCTCGCCTTAACGGAGTGAGCAAAATGAAGAAAAGTGGGCGCGGCGAGGAGGGTGATCCTACTATGATCCTACCATCGAAAAAGAGTGACCGGGCTAGGCGGGTCCCCGGGGTCCCCTGGGGGCGGGTCACCCTTCCGGTAGCGCCAGCCTTAGTCCCTGTACGGCGTCTTCCCAGACCCTCTCGGTCAATTCACTTCGCTGACGTGTCCGAGGCGAACGGGCGGGACATCTTTGCTTGGACCACGTGACCCGAAACGATTTGGCCGCGCGGAATAATGAGGCCCAGCAACTAGGCAAGTAGAGCCAACTTCCAGCATTTAGTTTTTCACTTAAACGGTTCGCCTATTTTTGCAAGGAAATGTAGGAAAAGTTGGCTCGCCTAGGGTAGCTTGGGTAGGCAGTGACCTTTCTACCGGGGACAAGTTTTCTCTATAAAAATGGGGCCTTACAGAGGTGGCCGCTAAGAGAGAGCTGGCTAAAGTTACATGTAAAATAAATTTGAATAGTGCAGTGAATAGTGGGTGATGCCAAGGATTTTCTTTATTGGACATCTTTCGCATCTAAATGTTATTTTATATTATTTATATTCTCTTTATCTTACGATTTTACAATACTTAACGATTATAACTTCCGAAGTTTAGGCTATGTGCAGGATGATATCACTTTAAGCGACTACTAAAATAATGTGGGTTTTGTTTTCTTGTAAATATTTACTGGGTTACAAGGTTACTAAACCTTACTCGGACTTCTCTCAAATGCAATCTATTAAGAAAGGATAACTCAAAGTTAATAGCTGTAGTTAAATGATACCATCGCGAAAACGAGCGATCAAAGCTCTCAAGTGTTTGCTTTGTATCTAGAGCTCCGTCCGCTACTAACTTGCCGCTTTTTAGCTGTTTGTCTCCTTCACGTGAAAGAACTACCACAATGGAAAAGCTTAATGATAGGTTCCCATTCTGCAGTACTTTGGTGAATGTCTTCTTTCCACCGCCCAACCTCCAGAGGTGCCTCTGTCATAACATTGTACAAATCTGCTCAACGGCCGCAGAGAAATCTTTACAGACAGCAAAAGGTGGTTTCTCAAGGCGATTTTCATCTCCTTCCCGGTATTTACCTGGAAGATCATTTAAGTAGTTCTTCAAGAGGCAGGAATTCACAAAGTATATCTAATACACTTTAAAAATTACTCGGAAACCTTAAACAGATCTCAGATATGTAGAAAACAGAAGTTAACATATTTATTATATACATATTAACTCACTGAGAAGCCATGACGTAAATTTTCATACGCAAATGAGTTCTAACCAATCAGAGCAGCGAACGATGCTTTTCACTCAATAAGTCCAATCAGAATCGCGAACGATGTTTTTTCACGTGTGAGAAAATATACGTCCATCAATCAAAAGCTACAGAGGTGTGTGAGTTTCGCGTCAAAATTCCCGCCTTTTTAGACAGAACGGTCATTTTCGTCAAAATCGTTCATTTTTATTTGTACATTCAGAAAAAAAGTTAAATATTACTTATGATTCCTGGATTACTTCATATCCTTACCCTCATAATTTTTACCAAGCGTTTTTTAACGCTAATGTACTTAGTTTTGTTTGTTATTTCGCGGCGTGTAGCGGGATATTTTGGCATTTTAGGATTTTGGAACTCGTTTTTGTGTTAGAAATCTCACTCGTTCGCTGCGCTCACTCTTTCGATTTCTGATACGTCAACAACTCGAGCGTAAATACCGTTCGCACGCACTTTCCATGAAGTTTTCCATATTTACACAATTTTAAGCAATGGTTGAAAATTATATGTCATGACAAGGGTTATGGTAAAATAATAGAAAGCGAGTGTGAAGCTACGTTCACAGGGCAACAGACGAATTTTCGTCCGGCTGAAAAATTTGACCGGACACTACTAGGGACTTTAAGATCCAACGACGCGAACGGCAACGAGAGCGTCAAAAAAACAATAGGTTTTATTAGCAAAACAACAACTTTGCACGTGCACCACGCTTTTTTTGTACATTTCTTTGCCCGTTTTTGCACGACTACGACGTGAAAATGCCTGTTCGCGTTTTATGGAGTGCGTAAACAAGCAACGACGAAATTTTGTTTCTCTTTCTACACTTGGATATGGTCCCTAGGAATTCAACTCCAGGAGGGTTCGCCTACTTTTGACAAAATAAGTGGGTAGGAATAATTTCAAAAAAGACGGAAAGATCGTTGGATCTTTAAGTTCCTACTTTGTTCACCAAGGACCGTTCAAGAGAAACTTTGAACGACTAGGCGTCTGAATTTTTGCACGGTTAGGGTGGTTCCAAGTGAACGGAACAACTAAACCCACGAATTTTCAACCGGTCGAAAATTCGCCCGGTTCCGTCTGAGAGTAGCCTGAGTTTACATGAAAGGAATAAACTAACCTGTTTGTACAAGAAATCCTTTTATACCAATAGCTTCTGCTCCACCAATGTCGTCTCTTACATCCTAAAGAGAAAAATGGCGTTGAATATTTTTAAGTCTGTGCCTGCTAATAAACCCTGACAGTCACAGACTTAAAGTTACCCTGATTCATTAATTTTCAGCTAAACATGTCAGCAGGAAAACTGAATGTACATGCAGATAATTGCAAGCTCTTTCGTGTAATTTGTGATCTGTTTATCAATGACGAACTCAGGAGTTCTTAAGAACTCGTTGAAACGTGTCCATTCGTTCCAGATCGAATTGAAATTTGGAAGTGTTGGTTTTTAAGGAGAGGGAAAAACCGGAGTACCCAGAGAAAAACGTCTCAGATCAAAGGAGAGAACCAGCAGCAAACTCAGCCCATATATGGCGCCAACTACGGGATTTTAACCAATAACCCGACAACAACGTACACAGTAGAACACAATTTGTAAGTCTATACAGGTTATGAGGATGACCATTGACCAACACATTAATTTTGGACAAACGTTGATAAGACCAAATATTTCAGCTTTAGACAAGTACAACTGGTGAGCAGTAGGTCGAAGTAGGCACGCATTGTTCATTGTTGTGATTAAGAGAACTGGGTATGGCCTGCTTGAGGCATTGAGACAGCTGGCTATTTTTTTTCCTTTTCCGGTGCCCCTACTACGTTACAAACAACGAAAATGACTTTGAAAACTATTAGGCTCACAATTTTTCAAAACCTAAAAAACCACAATAATTGCAATCCATTTGAATCTTCCTCAAGTTTGTTTATCCGTGTCTCCTTTGATATTTGCTGTGTTATTATCTCCTTTTCATGTTTTGAGCCAAAATTTCTATGTTTCACTATGTTTGGTGGCAGTTTTCACTGTTTCATGACACAGGTCCTTCAAGATATAAGACTTTTTCATAATAAATCATAGCCTGTGTAGCAGACACTGGTTTTTGCTGGGTGAAGGGAGAAATTTGAGGGCCAATAATCCTCAAATGTGAGGGGTAGGGTGTACACAGTAAATTTAACTGTAAGTGTGTGCAGGAGGAAGAAAAGGAGAGAAGGCCTCCTCTTCCCTTTGTGTGCTTCCCTCATGTGCTCCATTAAAACCAACCAAAAAAAAAGTACCCAGCACCTGCCACACAGGCTAAATATATCGTATCTCTTTTGGCAAATTTTGTTTATTTTATACAAGCCAACAATTACTCAGGAGCAGTGAAAATTCAGTATTTACTGTAAAGGTATTTGAGATTTAACTCACATCACCAATCATGACTGTGGACTGTGGGTCACACTTCATTTCCTCCAACGCATGTGCAAAAAAGGTGGGCTGTGGTTTGCCAATAACTTCAGCTTTGACGTCTGAAGCGAATTCAAGAGCTGTTACAAAGGGACCTGGGCCTAGTGCCAGTCCATCTCCTCTCTTGTAGTATCGTACTTTGTGAACTGCTATGAGTGGACAACCATCCAGCAAAAGCCTGTAAAAGGTTGACAAAAAGTACAACACCGTAAATCCTCCTAAGACCTAGACTGTTTACAGTCCGCTATTTTTTCCAAAAGATTGTCTAGATCGAGTGCTTTGCATCACAGGTGGCCATCTTGGATACAGTGAGTGCCAGACCAATCAATAATATTAGGATATTTGACTAGAAATCTGAATTTCACATCAACCCTCCCAAAACTTCACTCTTGGTAGCACAATTCAAGTTACGGTAAACTGTGTTGGGCGGGGTTAGGAACCAGATGGGTGACCCCTCACGAATATCCTGTTGTGAAGGTCCCTAAGTATTTAATTCTTGCCCTTTTTTCTTCTACTTCTTTCAGTTTTGCCCTATTTAATTGTTAAATGTGTACTGGAAAGGATACTCAGCATTATTTTGCCTTATGGGATTTTAAAAAGAAAGTACAAACACAGCAGTTTGTGTGCAAGTTTTAACTTTATTTTGACCAATCAATTGGCAGGCAAAGAACCAAGCTAAATGTGGATTATCCACAGTGTAAAATGGATTCCAACTGGATTTCAGCAGGAAAAAAAAACAAGAAAAAATCTGTTAAGATCATGCGTGACTTTAGACCTGATTTTATGAGTGGTTCTGATGATTGCATCATTGGGTAGTGACAGTTGGTCTTGTCTCCTTCACCCTTCCTTATCAACCGGAAGGGGATGTAAAAAAAAAGAACTTGTGCACAAGTTTTAAAAAAGAGTTGGAATGTAGGGTCCTGGTGGTGTGGTTTATTTTTCTTGGGGGAGGGGGATGGTCACAGACCTGAACCACAATGTTGCAGTAAAACTGCCAAGAATAGGTGTATCTAATAAAATAAAGAGTAGAAAAAATAAGGCAATAGGTCCAGTACCTGAATGCCTTATTGAGCATGTCATAACTGAAACAATCAGGAGCGAGTCCCACTACAACAGCATTGGGATTATTGACATCAATTCCATGAAAATCCTTGCTTGCATCTGATCCCAAGAATAATAAAGGTCGCAAGTTTCTCTTTTTTACCACCTGTCGTGCTGCGGTAAGTGAAGTAAAAACTTCTTCTGATTTGATGTCAAATCCTAGCCCATTCAGACGATTCAGCAATGTATCTTTTGACTCTTTAGTGGTGTTAGTAACAAATCGAACAGACACACCAGTCTTTCTAAGCCTGTGAAAATATAAGAAAATATATGCAGTACACAAACAAGAGAATTTTTAGGGAACAGAGGGTGACTGTTGTTCCTCAATCTATAAAAAATAACAGTTGCTTCTCTCTGTTTCCGTTCACTAAATTGGTGCCCCTGAGAAGGACACCAAACTGGTTTCATCGAACAAAGCCCTTGCTATAAACAGGGCTTCTGATATTTTGCGTGGTCGCGGAGCCGCAAAATTCATGTAAATCCACCAGAAGAAAGTGTTATTATAATCTATACTTCCCATTAAAGTATTAAACCACTGCATTGTGCATTATGGGGGTCTTGTCTGAAGTAAAAATTCTAATCCACCTATGCTCAAAAAAAGTAGCATGTGTATGGGTGGGGGAGGGAGAGGTGTAATAACGGCAGTATGGGCATGGTCAGTGATAGATTTTGAAGTACCAATTTATTATCAGTTGAAGGAGCTCATGTAAGCTTTCCACATAACCCCATACATTTTTATTCTTGGTTTGCAACCACATGACATGTTGAAGGTCAATACCATGTAATTTTTTCTCAAAGAATTTACATGAAAATAGAGTTTAGTTCTCAGAGGAGAGAAATGCTTTTGTTCTTGACCACCAACATGGCCGCTGTGACGTCACGTGCTAACCAGCAATTAAGCTTGCATTATTATTCATTCAAACTATTTCCCCAATTCTGATTGGCTAAAAGCACACGCATAATTCACTATAACCAGTTACTGATGACCAAATTTGGAAGAATTTTGTGTTTAACACGGAAATGACATCAAAAATGCAGCCCACTACAGGTTAAGGCACCGTTACTGAGAAGACCTGGGGATGAGGTTGAGTTGTTTTGGTTGTGAAAAAAAAAATGGCGGAAATTTCACTCGTTTCAAGAGCAAGAACTACAGCTGGAACTGGGCAAAATAATAGCTAAAAACATGGCAAAAACAGCCTTGGTGGATAACACCCTCCTCGATCTGCTTAATTCTTCATATCCTATTCAGCCTCATTCATTAATTGCTAATTATTCGACTCTATCCATATTAACTATTTGTAAGAAAAAGCATGCCACAATAAATGTATAGGGTTACCCTGGGGGTTAACTCCAGATTTCAAGTGACAGGGATGATCAAATGGGGGCAAAAATCAAAACCCAAAAAAATATCTTGGGCTTCAAACAAAACACAAAAAAAAAAATCCCATGCCGAATTTCCGAGCCATAAAAATTTCGAGAGGAACTACGCGCCCGGTATACACGGAAATCTGCGGAAATTATCATATTATAACCCCCAAAAATCCCTACTTAAATCAAATTACCAAAAAAAATACTTGCCAAAATTTTCCTACCCCCAAAAATCTTGAAATCTAAAATTTCAAACCCAAAAAAATCCTTCGATCATCTCTGTCACTTGAAATCCAGAGTATCCCCCTTGGGTGGGGTTATAAGGAAATCTTACCGAAGCTCAGAGTATTTATACCCATAAAAGGAGTAAATGGCCCGTATATGCAGCAACACATAAGATCGACGTTCTTAATGCCCAGTAGCGAGAGATAAGTGTATCGTGACAGACTATCAAAATCGTCAAATCCGAGAATAATTTTCACCGGCTCTATTAAAGTCGTATGAATACCAGGACAGATATTGGGCTCACTTTCACCTATATCGATCTGCGAGCAGGTTTAGCTATATTTTTGAACAATTACCTTTTAAGAGCTTGAATTGCTCCAGGCATCACCGTATTTTCAACGTGAATAGTCCCGCTTAGATCAATAAGAACACCGCTAATTTTTGCCGCCATTTTGTTTTTGAGAGATATGCTGCTGACCATTCGCGGGCGAGTATTTATGACCTAGTACCCAGTCTACTTTGTTTGTTGAAAACTTGAGGCTTGAGCTAAGGCTTGAGCGATTTTCGGGTCGACAAGCCTGTATTAGCTTGTATTTGACTGAGTACGATCGTTGTGTACTATCTTTTGACTTATGGGAGGCATTTTTATGAGGTAGGAAAAATGTAACCAAAGGTTGTGACATGAGCAGCGCCCCCTTTCCTGTAGAGTTTTTGATGGGGCGGGGGGTCTGAGGGAGGGATAGGGGATTCTCCATGATTTACTTAATTTTTCTTTTATCATGTAGGGTACTTTAACTCTTTTGTTTCTCTAATTATTCCTCCCTATTTGGAACAAGAGCTGATACAACACACAAGTGACAGGTCAGACAAAGGGTGTATTTTTGAGTCTGTTTGCCAATGCGGGAGTTTAAAACCACACCCTTTTCTATAAAAAGTTAAACTGCACCACTCTAACTCTATTTTAGACTAAGTGCAAACATCTCCATCTCATTCCATATATTTTTAGTTCAACATTTTGGAGGATCTGGATGGGGTTATCTGAGAACTGACACTTGTATCCCCTGGATGTAATCTTCAATATTGTACCGACAACAAAAACTACATAGGATAGCCTTCCATGGCCATAGGAGGGTGGGTTTGGGTGGGATCGTGTGCAGATAAAAAAAAAAATGAAATGTCCCAATCCGACCGGCCAGACGTACCTTGTTTCTTGTTTTAAACAGACGAGTTGACGTTTACTTGAGCTTCCCAAAATACCTCTTCCTTTTTCGTTTGTGCTTGCGAATGTCTTGGCGATCACAACGGGGTCGATTGTGTCAGCCATTAATGTCTTGTGACAGTGAACAAGCATGCCGCTGCAGCTGTTTAACCGATCTTGCTTCATTGTGTTTGTAGGGTATGTGTTAAGGTGTCTCGGAGCGGAAAAACTTTGCTCCGATGTAGAGACTCATGTTTGAAAAAACATGGAGCATACAGCAAAATTAAAATAATGCAGGACTGACCCAACTGATTCATTCCAACTCATTCAATTAAAGTTTTGTATAAAAATAGTGTTTTTAAGTCCTAATGAGTCGACTGTGTTAAAATGTAAGAAAGTTATTTATTATTCTACCACCCCCCCCCCCCTCAAACAAAAAAGTGGGGGAGCTGAAGCCACCTATGATACAGGTTGAATGTTTAATACATAATTTAACTGTAGGGCTTTAACAAGATGATTGGTTGTCAAGCCTCTACTTAATATTGCACAATTACACTAAGGAGTACTAGTAACACTGGCTTTTTAAGCCTTTATTTATCGAAAAGATACAAAATGTACATTGTGGATGTAATAATAAGTTAAACCCTAGAACAACATTGTAGCAACTTACAAAGAACATTTTACAATATTTTTGTGTTAAAAAATGCAAATCAATATAAGTACAAATGAACAATATACATTTAAATTCCTAAAATTTGAAAAGTGAAGTTTTAGTTAAACCCCTTTGAATGTAGGTACGTTATTCTAAAAGTGACATCACATAATTTATAAATTGATAAAAATATATACTGTTATCTGAAAATATCCTGGCAAAGGTAGCCAATTGAAAAAAGAAAAACAAACAAAGATCAACATTTTACAAACAAGCAATCTTTTTGGCAGGAAAATAAAATTAAATATGTGGATTAAACCTTCTCTTATGTGGTATAATTACATAAATATTTCACTTTTGTTTAAAACCTGTTGAACAGTATCTGGATCACTTAGCTGCACTTCTCAGAGAAAAAAAATAACGCATTTGACATTTTGTCCTTATTATTGCGCTTTCTTGTAAACAAAGACCCCTAAGACCCTCTAAGACCCCCCACCGAATGACTCTGAACTTTGTGGGAGTATTCTCAGGGGTCTTTGTATTCAAGACACCCGTTATTATTGTCTTAACTTGTTATTAGGAAACAACTGTTCAAGTATACTTGTGCCTAATTGGAAATTTACATGTGTTCTTTATTTCTGAGAAGGCAATTCTAAATCTGAGTATCCTGTGGTTAGGTACCCTATTTACAGTGCAGCTACAAAGCCCCACAGAAAGGCCAATCAGACACCTCCATTACATGTTTTTTCGGATGTTTGTTGGACAAGCCAATGCAGGTAACTAACACTGCATGTAAGAGCAGAGGGAATTTGGTAGTATAATTACAATAAAATAACCCTAACTACTGTAGCTATATGATTTCATGATGTTGTCGGCATTCCTTCTTGAAGAATACTGGATAATAGAGTTTTGTCTTGGAGTGCATAGTCCACTTCTTTCTCATCTATTTTGAGTGTTACCTGTAAAAGAGACGGTAGTATATTCAAATGTGTTGTGATGTAAAGGTGTTTACCATCTTGATTGGGTTTGAAGCGGGAAGGGGCTTTCTTTGCTGAACAGGTTCCTGTCTATAGATCAGACTGCTGCCCGTTGGTCAAACTGTGTTGTCTTTACAAAGTTCAAAATCTTTTGGCCTCTTTACAAAAATGTAGCATGGGGAATCTTAAACTACATGTTGTTCCACAATCTTGGACAATATAGATGACGGAGCTAGGGGGTGGGGGATGGGGGTTTGCTGTTCCATTTCATTCTGTCCAAGATTGTAGCTAACTGTGAACTTTTGTTAAGTAAAGCAAACCCCTAAGAACATTTTCTTTTGTCTAGACAAAATATGAATCAAAATAGCTTAAAACGTTGTCTCAGGTGAACCCCTGAACTGAACATGTTTTGCAATCTTTGTAACTGTTGTACAAACTTTTAGTAGAATCAAGCTCTACCTTTTTCCATAATTTTTTTAGTATATTACAAGACAAACTCCAGGGAAATGTAATAATACTCTAGAGAGGACTTGTGCATCCTGTCATGCTAGACTAACCTTCATCATTCTTGTGTCCTTAGCTCTCTTGATTCCAAGAAGTCCTCTTGTTTCCAGTATGTTACACAAACCGAGAAAATCTTCTTGGCCAAGCTGGGAAACTTTCTGCCTGGTGCAGATCTTGCAGTAAGTGTCGTGAAACTGTAGACAGAATAATTATTCACTTTATTATTAAATACGGATTTGATAGAAATAACTTCTTTTTTGTTTTCTTGCATGTGCTCTCATACTGTACCAGCAATGGAATAAAAATAATCACTTGAATGTGTCTATATTAAATTTTGGAATGTTTTTGAATGGGGCATCATTATGAGAGCAAAATTCTTCTAAAAGGGGGTCAAGATTTGGAGACCTGGGCAACACCTCGTACATTATGTACCTACTCAAAATCTGCCAAAATGCAGTGGGGCCTTTATTAAACTTAAAATACCCTGTGTTAAGCACACATGAGCATCAGTGAGTCCAACTAATTTCTATTTGTTTCCTGTGAAACAACGACAGCCGACTGCAGATATTGACGCACATAATGAACAAGAGTCAGCTGACCTGTCAACTGATAGTATACCAACGTGTCGACGGATAAGAAATTACACAGGAGATATCCCGGTTCTGTTTGTAAGCATGTGAAAGAAGCTAACTTGAAATTCAAAACCTACCTTTCCTAACACAACCTCTTTGGTATTGCGTTCTTTTGTCATTAATAGGAAGGTACAGATAAGAAGTTTTTGCTGCAAAGGAATAGTTGGCTGTTCAACGCCAGGTCCTGCCACCAGACGAGATCCATAAACTTCAGCTACAACACTGGCTATTTGGGAGATTCCAACCTTTTTAGGTTTTGGTGGAGTTTCAGGTCTTTTGCGAGGAGATTCAGCTAAAGGGAAGTAATTTAAGAGCACTGTAAGTATACTACAGTGAAAAACTGCTGCTGGCAGTAACTAGCCTGCATTTAAGACGTTATCTAACCCCAGTTAGTCAACTTCTGTGAAGCAGTGCCGATATCCTTGTTCTGGGCCCACAACACACTCAACGAATTAATGGAAAGGTTGTTCAAATTTACCTTCAACCTGATTGGCAAGTTGACAATGGCTTGTTTTTACAGGCCAATCACAGCATGTGCTCAAATCGTTCCACACGGGTGGGGCCCCAGAACAAGTGTTTCGGCGCTCTTTTGCAGGCAGACTTTTAACCAGAAGTTTATTTCTGGCTGTGGTGCAGGCTAGCAGTACAGTAACTCATTTGCTGGAAAGAATCGACAGGAAAGACTAGTGCAGCATGGAAACTTTTTCTCAACTTTGCTGGTAAATTGGCATGAAAGCTATATTAGCAATGACAATCTCTGTCAAACAGCTGTACTTTACCACACTCTATAGGTGCATCATCAGACTACAAATGACATAGGAGTACCATTGTTAAAGAAAAATTATTTTAAAGCTTCCTGGACTTTATGAATCTTATGCTCTAAACCTTGGCCTAGATTCGCCGTGCTACATAATATTGTATTTTGGGGTATAGCTGTTAGTATGTAAATTTTCATTCTAGAAAATGTTTCGTACCTGTTTGGACAGGCTGTAAAATTTGCTGTTTCCTTTCTCCAGATTCTACAACTTCAACTGCTCTCCTGAAAAATGACATAGAATAGTTTGGAAACAGAGAAACTCCTTACAACGTACATGCTATTAATTGTTAGCATGTCAGAATATTTCAGGGCAGATTGAGGTGGAAATTTCAAGTTGGCCCATGCACCTCTTCATCAAGTCCTTTTCTTTGACGAGAAACTTTGCTCCACGTGTCTCTTTCACACCCAGGAATCCAAGACAAACAAGTATGTACTATACACAAAAGTTGTCAAATAATGATAAGGAATACAATAATGATTTTTTAAGTTTCTGATCACTAGTGTTACCTGCAAATATCTAAGGCCTTCCTCATATCCCCAGCCATGGCTGACACTTTCCTTGCACAAAACTGTATCGCTGATGTATCCAGAATACTGTTCCCCTCTTCAACCTGGAATCAAATGAAATAATTATTTTAATATTGATCAGCCCCTTCATTAGACCAAACCAATGCTCTGTTTCTTGAACACAGTAACATGGGGGGTGCAATCTTAAATTTACTATGGAGGTGTGCCGCTGAGTCTCTCAGACTCTGGACATGTTTCAGGCAAAAGGAGATGAATTTGTGTTCCTGTTCCTGACAATAATTGTTGTAAAAATAGGAATCCTGTTTTCATGGCTGGCTCAGTGATAAAACGACAAGAGGAGCGTAGTTTCGCAAGTTTGATCGAGAATAATCAGGAAATATTGGGGGAATTTTTATTCCCTTTTTCCAGAGCCAGAGAGGAAAACAGGATATCCTGCTGATGAGCAAAACAATTACCTTTATAGCCCGTATATGGGAGTACCATCCCAGTCAGGAGTAAAACCTAGTGGACACACTTCTCTTTCTAATCCAAGCCCTCCATCCCCCCTTCCTTCTTGACACACCCGTTTTACCCCATTACCCATCCCACTTCCTGGAAACATGCCAGATCAATTTAGGTTTCTGGGAAACTGCCCACCTACCCCTCTTTAAGCCAACATTAACACTTACCACTCACTTAGGGCAAAATGTTGGCTTAGGGGAGGGGTAGGTTGGCAGTTTCCAAGAAACCTGGCCCAAATTGATCCAACACACCTCTGCTTCTGGCCAAACAAAATGTCCGAATGACTGTAACTCACCACTGTTAGTCTGTCCTGTATAATTTTGACAATCTGGTCTCTGGTATATGGGGCAAAGTGAAGAAGTTCAGGTTTACCTATAAGTAAAAATTCACATATGTTAAAGAACTTAGTAAAATTTTTTAATTCCATTTATTTTCGCCTATGTGTAGATACTTTGCTGACAATTTGTATATTTTGTGTACTACATTGTATATATATCTAAACAAATATAACACTCGTGCAGAGTTAAAATCTAGTATTATGAAATAAAACAGCATGTGCAAAACCAGCAATTAAATTAAGTTATGTAAACCTTAAGTGACAGATACTTACACTTTGGCCTTGCTTGTAGTCTTGGAAGAATTCTGTCTGTCAAGTCCAGAGCATTTGCTATTCCTTAGAGAAAAGAAAGTTGTTAATGCTTTTTAAATTTTATGTACAGTGTGATAAAAACACTTGCCAGGAACACATTGCAGAGAAACAATGCCCACTTTGCCCCTCACTCAAAGCAGTTTACAGTCATTCCATGTTGTCCACCCAACCCCTTCCCCCAAGCCCATGATAACTGAGTTTTTTTACAGTCTATAGATGTTCCTTTAATACATAATTTCAAATCTTTCTTTGCCTTTTTTGACCGGACATTTTTTCTTTGCATGGTAAGATAAAATTAAGGAGCCCAAATTGTTTCAAAGAACATAAAATCTCATGGTAATACTCTATCAGCTGATCTTTACTTACCGATTAAAACAAGCTTTGATTTTGGCAGAGATGGCCACTCAAAAATGGTGTACAGGATTTCTTGACTCTTGGATTCAAGTTGATCCATTTCATCCAAGATTAGAATTCTGCAAAAACAAAAAAATAAATAAATACCGATAATTTATTCTACTTATTTAAAAAACATAAGACTTTGTAATGTTCAGATAAAATATTTAATAAGTTGCTGGTGCTCTTTGTGTTGTTGTGAACCCATCCCTTCCTTAAGATATTGTTTACTGTAAAATTTACTTTGCATTCTGACCATCATGGACTGTTTACTAAAGGTAAGACAAAAACAACAGCTTACAAAGTTAATGTCAATAGGTTTGCATGTTTTCTGAACTTTTTTTTCAAGGAATACTCTCCCATTCTTAAAATCGTGATTGGAAAATTGGAATGGAAAATACTGAGTTGTAATTACCAAAAATGTCTTTTTTTTAAGGAAAGCTATTAATGGTTTTTTTTGTGAGGTGCATGAAGTACGTGTGACATACAAATGTAATACTCGTCAAGTGATAGGCAATCTTGTTATGTTATAGAACACTAAACTACGTAAGCAAGCCAATGCAATGACAGTGGAATTACCTTGTGAGTTTTGGTGAGGCAAATTCCTCCTCCAAAGATTTTTGTGTTACCTTGGTGGGACACTTTTCTTCGCCTACTAATTCAACTGCTATTTTCTGGAAAATATCCTGTGCTTGCTTTAATGCCATGCAGTTTATGAAAATAACTTGGCATTTTCTTATCTCAGCCTGTTATGGGTAAGAAAACAATGTGTTTTACGTATTAATTGTCAAGTCTTGACAAGTAAATTCTAATATAATTATGGCCTACATGTAGTAGCCCGATACAACATGTTTCATTGCCATATACAGCTTTATTACAATAGAGTTCACAAGGGTTTGCAAGACATATAAGATGTATTATCCTGGTGCAGTGGTCGAGCATAAACACCTGGAACTTTCAGAGTGCAAAGAAAGTGGAGTCCGATAGCCCGGGGCTAGTGAGTTTTGTTCTTAACTTGCCCTAGCTAGGGACAAGTGCCGTTTTTTGGGGAAATTCAAATTACAGAAGGATTGTCATCAATGCTGCTAATCAAAAAGGGTTTTGGGGCTAGTACATTATTACCATCACCCAGTGGCGGATCCAGGAAAGGGGCCCAGGGGGCCTGCCCCCCCGATCTTTAGACCAAACTGAGGCCAGAAGGGCCGAAAAATTTTTTTTTTGGAGACTGCCCCCCTTATCTCAGGGTCTGGATGACCGCCCCCCCCCCTTCCTCATCTAAAGGTCTGGATCTGCCAGTGTTACCAACACTACCACTATCATGATCGTCCAACTATTGATCTTGTAACAAATGTACATGATAAGCCTTGATCATCACCAATAAGACTCTTTGCTTTTATCATGGTCATTTCATTTACCTTCATTTCAAGCATGATTCTTGTCAAGCAAGCTGTTTTTCCTGTCCCTGGTGCCCCTGAAATGTACAAACTTCCTGGTTTTTCCTTTGGCAGATGATTGAGTAGAAATGATCTGATTTCTGCGATCTCCTTTTCTCGACATATTAAGTTGTCAGGGTGTGAAGAATGTAGTGCTCTTCTCACTTTAGAATATTGATGACCTTTCAAAATAAGAGTAAGTAATTTATTATGATGTCAATTTTATTTCCATAATATTATTCTGAGAATGCAAGATTCTTGGAGGAGTCATTAGCAGAAGAAAAAGAAAACAAAACCATCATAGAGCTCAATCAGAATTACATGCATCATGATTGGCTCATTCTTCCTTTTCTGCTTGCCAATACAGACATGAAGCAGTGGAGTCACAAACATATTCTTGCTATTCTGACTCCGTCATGCATGCAAATCCCTTATGACTTCAATATTTTATTTTCACTTGGTCACAAGTGCTCCTGGGATGCATCCCCATCACTTTTATATGTACATGGGAGTTCTTCCTCCCCCCTCCCCCCCTCACACACCCCTAGGCGAGTGCTCTTACAAACTCTAAGGCGATTTAGCCACTTATCACTTCTGACTTGGAGCCTTTTACTATACGTACCGGCTCTTGGCTATTTAAAAAAATAATGATGGAACTTCTTGGTGATTTTAAATTACCTTGATTGTTTGACATTTTTGGCATTAGAAAGATAAATTCTTTCGATCATCCACATCAACTAAAATTTGAACTATCCTCCTGGGAATCAATACCACTACTTACCATCTTGACGAGCAAGGGACAGCATTTGTTTTGCTCCTGGGCTGTTGGTACTAGTGGAAGTTGCATCAGTAGTCTTTCCCTTGTTGTTTTTCTTCTTTGAGGATTTGGGAGTTTCTTGAGCTTCACTAGATGACTCTGGCAACCACAGAGAAGGTGAATTACTATACTGGCAGGCTTATAAGTTTGGATCATTATACGTTGCTGGGAAACTGCCCACCTACCCCTCCCCTAAGCCAACATTAACACTTACTTCTCTCTTGAGGAAAAATGTTGGCTCATGGGAGGGGTAGGTGAGCTTATAAATTTTTTGTTCTGAAGTGAGGTATGGTGGAGTCATTGTACCATTCTAAATTATTTTTAAATCTGTGAACAAATCTTTTAGTTTGTTAATAAACCATTAAAATGAAATCTCTTTGGCAGCTCTTTTAAATCAAGTACTACTCCTAACCTAATGAGTGACTTACAAGAGGTTCAAACTAGTATAATTCGAACCAGCCTCGCTTCAATAGAAAAATGTTATTTGTATGCAATTTAAGGGTAAAATTTTGATTTTTTTTTCCTTTGGCTTTTATATTTTATAATATCAAGGCTGTGCTGTGAACCTGTAAAATCTAGGGTGCCCAGCAGGTGATTGGTATTTCAGAGCAACAGGGTCTGCTTGAGTACAGCTCCGTATATATCATGGAATTGCACCACATACCATCTTGGTTTGCGAATGTCAGCTTTTTCTTTGGATCAGAGTTTTCTGTGTCACTGCAAACTACATCTTCGGGTTTTCCTCTGTTGTTCTTTCTCTTCTTTGGAGAAACAGTTTGAGTTTCCACTGTTGAAAACAGATTTGGGAAGAAATCATTTAAGTGGCAGGTTCTTCTTAAAAAGGACTTAACAATCGAAGAATATGTCGGTGATTGAAGGAAAATTCTACCGCCAGAACACTATCATTCCTTGCATGAAGGGCAGCGTGACAGTCACACTGACTTCTTCCACGTCACGGTCCCGCGGATACATAATATTTTTGGTTTATTAAAAAGGTACAGACGGAAAATAAATCGAGACCGCAAAAGCAGGATACACGTTTGGGAAACAAATTTCATTCAGGAAATTTATTCCAGTGATGAATGGGTCAATTTAAAGCCTTTTGTGTTTGGAAGATGTACGCTTGCATACAAATGAGTAGAAAATCTAATCTCATTAACTATGTACGTGCAGGAGAATCGAGATAGAAACTGGCATTTCTGGACCAAAATTACGAGTAAATGCCCCTTTTCTAATCTAAAATCCTTGAGATGTGCTTCGATTAATCTCAACTAGCGATCTACCAAGTTTTGCAACGAATCAAGCAGTGAAACTTGCGCGGGAAATTTCAAGTCCAAGGGATAAAGTTCGGCCTAGAATTTTTCGATTATTTCCAGTAAGATCCCTGAGTAAATTCGACACATTTCTAAAAAAAGTCTTAATGTTTGATATGTAACGAGCTGAAGAAGCAAAAAGAAGGTCTTTTTCTTACCTTTCGTGGCATCGCGTCGCTTTCGAGGCGAAGTCGTCGATGCTGGAGTTTGCTTTCCTCTTGTTTCAACGGTCCCTACGTTTTCCTTTTGTTGCGATCGAGTCTTCCGAACACGAAACTCTATTTTTGTTTGGCTGTTGCGAGTAACTCGAGGCATCTTGAACAAAGTTCTGGCAAATGAAACTAACAATAATTGAAATAATCAAGCGAATCGATTCGAAGCAATACTGAACTATGAATATGAAATGAATAAAAGCATCATGGTAGCCAAATATTCGCGCGAAAATTTCTAAGCCAATCGGATTATAGTATAGGATTTCATCGACGCCGGTGATATATTTCCTTGTCAGCGGCTTACTTCAGAAAAGCAGCTGAGATTGACGCCATTTTGTTCGAAAAAAATTGAAAAAAGGGGGAAGATAAAGGGTCGATCTTTAATCGCGATTTAACATCTGCGAGTTCGCAGTAAGTGTTCGTGGATATAAACAATGGCGGACAAGATCGAAGAACTCAAAGCTAAGATAAAGGAGCTGGAGATCGCGTTGGAAATGGAGAAAAAACGTAAGGGACCCGTTCGGGAGAAAATCAATGAGATGAGCTCTGAAGTCGTAGACAGCAATCCTTACAGGTAGGAAAAAACAGATTTTGTTGTCGAAAGAATAGAAATCATTCCCAGATAATAAAGGAGAAACCACAAAATGGGGCTATGATGCTGAATGTCAAGATCCTTTTATCCTTTTTTGTAATTAATAAAAAGGTGCATATTTAAGCTGCTCTTTTTAAAGGATTCCTGGTGTTTCGCCGTGGTAGCAAAAGCGTTTATTGCAGTTTACTTGTCGTAGTTTTGTCTATATGATTATCATTAATTTTCTTGGTGGCGTTTTAAACTGAATCTGTTCAGATTAATCCCTCCTGTACGTGAGAAGGGAAATAAGCTTGCATGATTTCAAAGAATAAAAATGGAAATCATTTCAAATGCTAGTAGTCATAATATTATGTTTGATTCAGAGCATAATTATTTGAAATATGAAACACATGTTACACTAAACATGTTACTGTTTTATAATAAACATCTTGGCTTCGTTACTTTTAGGGGACCATCACTCTATAGAGGAAAAAACTAACATGCACAAGCAAAATGATGAGTGTAATACAACAAAAAAAACTAATGCCGACTCATATGTTCAACAACAAAGAACGAAGAAAGTGCAAATACTGGTCATTTCAGGACACATCTTTTAGCTGCGAACAATAAATATTGCAGTTGGGACATTTCTTAGTCTCGGTTCAGATGCTGAACTCTTCATGAGCCAAACCTAATCTGAATTAAGCGTGACCCAAATTATTTAGACTGGCTGAATTGATTCAGACACCGAGCTTAATGGCAGCGGAACTAAGTTCAAAAGGCGAAAAATGCTCACAAAATACGTATAATAATAATGCATTAGGTTCAGTACATGAAAAGTTTGGCGTCTGAATCAAAGCTGTTCCAAAGTCATTCTAAAGGTGAAATTCCCAGCCGAGCTAGGTGAAAAGAACACCTCAGCCGTTCGAAATTGAAACAGGCATTCCTAATTGATTCAGATGCCAAACTTTTCATGTACTTAATTCAATGTATTAGGTTCGGCTCATGAAAAGTTCAGCGTCTGAACTGGGCCTTAGGTTTTTTTGGGATGTTAGCCAATTTGCCACAGATGCAAGTGAGAATAATAAATCTACATCTGGGGTATACTTTTGTCGTGTTTTCACGTACACTTTTTATTCTGCTTGTGCATTCATTTAGTTTTTTCCTCCAAACTAACATCTGTAGCAAAAAGTTGTTTATAGTGCAAGACTTTTTGTAGACTTTGGCATTAGGGCAGGTTTCTGCAAGATGAAAAATAATGCGGGACATTTTATGCAAGTGCAGCATATGTGACGGAGAAAGACAGAATCTTCAGTAAACAAAATTATTTTAAAATTTTTAGAATGCAATCTAAAAAGGGGGCACCCTAGTGTTAAAACATACATGCGTATGTTACTGGTCAAAATTAAATTCAGGTTAA